TATGCAAAAACTGCTGAATTAGCATTTGTAAAGCAATATGCTATAGAGTATATTACACAGTAGTATGCAAAGCAATATATTAAGAAACCCAATCATCTTCTAATCAGGGGTGGCGAAGTAGCAACAGTTAATATCTTGAGGAATTTGCCCAAATAATGTTCAACTGTCAAAGCTCAAAATCAGCTATACTGAACCTGGCTTGAGTTAAAGAGGAAATCAGGTAATGATGGTAAAGAGCTCTGCATAGGTTGAGGTGAACAAAATATCAGTCTTTATCTGTAGATTGCTGTTTTTGTTTTGTTTTATAATAGAAATCATATAGTTTTTCCCAAACCTCAACAAAGTAGTTTTTATATACTGTAACATTAACGTTTCATCATCCCAATAAAGAAGCATCTTCAAACCAAACAATGTTTTCAATTGGATCTAAACTTATTATATTAAGAAACAAGCCTTTTGGGATACCACATTTCAGATACGATAAATGCTATCAACTTTGAGATATATGACACATGTCCTGTCCATTTCATGGATTAATGTCCACCCAGAGGCGCTGCTTTTCAACAGGCAAGACAGGCAACTGCTTGGGGCCCCAGACCAGTAGGGGGCCCCAAAGCAGCGGTCAAGATTTTTAAATTTTGCAATGGCGGCAGGAAACCTCCCTAAGCGGGCTCCATCTAACAACACTCATTGTCATTGCCCTGCTGAACATTGATTGGAGGGCCCCAATCGATTTTTGCCTAGGGCCCCAACAGGCTCTAGAATCACCACTGTGTCCACTATTCGTGCTGTCCCCTGCTGTCCCCCCACTGTTCGTCTGTGTAGATATTCGAGGATTGAATTTTCCCAGATGATCACCTCTTAATCCCAAAACGCCCATATCTTCAAAACCCACATTAAATATGTCCTTGCTGCATCGTAACTATGATGATTTGTTTACATGTTTTTTTTTCATTAATCTCTTTTGAGAACTCAACAACCTTGAGTGAAGGCTTTGGCTCTCAAACGTGGTTGGCAAGAGGAGCAGAGAGGAAAATGATCTTGGTTGCTATGAATCCATAGTCAGTGTGTTTGTTTTTATTCCAACTTTCCCTCACTTTGTCTCACAAGTGTTGACAGGTGCTGGATGGAGAAAAAGACCTACGTCAACCTGCTGCTGCATGTAAGGGTCAAGGGTCAAGATAAAAGATTAAAATGTCCAGAGAGCTTTACCGTCTGTTGATGACGATAAAACATGAGTCATTACCAGGAGGGAACAGCTGGAGGGCTAATAGCAAGAAATACAGTTTAATGAGTTTAAGTTTAATTAGAACCAAATTGGAGGGGATGCAGTTTTTTGCAATCAGAGGAAACAGATTTTTAATGAGTTAAAGATTAAAAAAGTTTCAAAGATTAAAGCCAATGTCACCACTCAATGACATTTCTATTTACAAGAAGGTTTAAAATATATATAAATTATAAACTGTCCAGTAGTTGTAGCTGAATATTTACCCTCAAATTAAGTCAATCATTTAGATATATGGAAAGCCTGTTATTGTTGTTGTTAATATAAAGTTGTAAGATGTGAGGGAGGACAATAAACCACTAATTGACAAAAAAGTTGTTACATGTTTGAAACCCTTGTAAGCCCTTGTTTAACTTTTAAATATGACACAGAGCTCTGCAAAAATCTTGTATCTTAGAAAGAAAAACACTTGAATAGTTGCAAAACAGCATCACACTTCCTAAAAGAAAATCTGAAAACAGGGGCTTTTATTTTGAAGCTCTGTCATCATTACATCAGGATATATATTATTTAATAGATCATTTGATATAATTGCAACCAATCCAACATCCAGTTGAGTTTTATTTCACTGCTGGCTTTTATAAAGTACAGAAAGATCACTGATATTTCACATGCACATAAAAAGAGGAGAGCACTACAGAAATACATGCAGTTCTGTGATACTGACTTTTTTATAATGTTTACTTTCTTTGGAAAACTACTTTGTCTTCTACCAACTCTGGAGGAGCTAGTACGCTGATTTTGAAATGTTCTTTGTTTGTTTGATGCATTCACTTGTTGTCATTCAACAGTATTAACTATTTAAAATCATGTAAAGCATACATACAGTAATGCACCCATGTACATACTTTAAATGCTGCAAATTAATCAACTCATTATCATGTGCGTTTTGTCTTAAAGACAAAACAAGCGGCACTGCAATAAGTTCTCTTACTCATAAAAGGCGTTTGGAGATCATTTTATTTCACTAAATTTCATCAAAGAAGATTTTTAGTCAAAATCATGACTGGACCCAAACTGGTTTCCTTTTGCAGCTCTGAAGGACACAAACAACAAAATCAATGTTTATCAAATGACTTATTGAATAACGACTATTTGTCCACTGTAAACTTATTTGTCTTTATGTTTCTAATGACATTTAAAATTATTTTTCACTTTTCATACACAGTGTTCAGTTACACAAACGTAAAACAGGTGTTGGTTGAATTACCAGTCGGTCTGAGCCGTGTTTGGCTCCTCAGCGCCCTCTTGCGGTGAGACGTGGTACTGCTGCGGCAGCTCTCACAAACACGGTCATCACCGTCCACCGACCTCCATCTGACAGATACGAGAAGATTTGTGATCATTTTTACGTCCTGCATGTTTGAGAAGAAGTTTCCCTTCTGTTATGTTAGAAAATAGAAATTAAACTGACCTCCCGTTAATAAAAGAACAAGCCTTCTTTATTTGATCTTTCTTTGAAATGGGCTCTGCTTCCAGATGACAGGTTATATAAATCTACAGGACAACAGTACGACATATTCTTTTTAAGGCATTTCTTCTCTAAATGGTAAACACAGATACATTTTCAAACTATTTGAAAAGAGTTGCGAACAGTGTGTCTTTGGTCCTGGTGGAAGAGGAACGTTTGGAGTTGAATTTGGAGGACTCCGTCTTGGACTCTGGGCAGGAAACGGGAGCTTGAGTTGTGCAGCTGTGAGTCTGTAAAACATCTGCAAAGAACAGAAACACCCTTATCAGATGTGTCCTCCGCCCTCTGCATTTATCATATCACTGACTTGGGTTCATGTAACAGTTACAGGAGAAAGAAAGAGATTTTTTTTTTAACTGCGTATGTGTTCACAGGAGTGGTTCTGATTTGCAGGATTAATTAGAGGAACTGCTGTAGACTTTAAAGACTCACCCCTGGTGGTCTATGAAGGCGTATGTGGGGTAAGAGTTCACCTCAGAGGATAAAGCAGCCACACAGCCGTTTACAAACAGACGAAGAGGATGATGAGGATGATCTACAGACGCCTCGATGTTGACCGTTTCACCCAGGAAGTACACAGGCGACCTTCTCTCACCGCTCCAATCATCTGAGGAAAGACAACAGGTCTGTAAACAAACAAGACTTCTTTGTCCTCAGTGGTGAATATTTATGATCCTCTTATTTGTGTCAACTTTTTCCAAACTGGAGCACACTGTAGATTAATAGGGGAGAATGTTTTTGCCACCGGACAGAAACAAACTCACCTGTCATGAGCCGAAGCTGAAAGTCCAGGTCCAGGTGCTTGGACTGGATGGAGATCAGGGGGCTCCACGTTGGTTTCGGGGCCCTGCTGCTCAACGTGTGCCTCCTGCAGAGTGCATGGTTAATAATGACAACCAGGCAACAAAGTTAAGTGAGAGAGAACATGTAGAGTTCAAGCACAAGTCAGGCACTGAAGGAAAAGAAACGATCCCAATGAAGCTTTTAACACACAGCAGATGAAAACCGGAATGTAGAATCAAAGCACAGGTAACACCTGTTGTGTCGCTGGTGAAAAAAATACTTTTCTCATCCTTTCTGTGTATGTCAAATCACTTGAGTCCTGTAAGTCGCACTTTTTAAATTATTTTAACACAATTCTCCATTAGCTCCCTGATATGTTTTGCATTTGGATGAAAAGTAAAAGGCATTTCATAGTTAGCTTCAAAGAAGTGTTATTCTCTAAATTAAAATCTGTGTTTGTGAGACAATCAGGTATTTTAATGATTAGTGCCAAACTAGTGTTTTCTATCCTCTTCCTTACTTTAAGAGCTTTGAATTTCACATGTTTGCATATATTCCTCTCTAATGAATATATTGTCGTTTTAATATATTTCGTTTTGTGTGTGAAAGCACCTTCTGTATTTACAACGGACTGAAACAGCAGCTCCTTTTTTCTGCCAGTCTCCAGGCGACGATGGAGGACAGTACAGCAGCAGGTTTCTGTACAGCAAGGCACTCTGGGTAAGCTACAGATAAAGCACTGTCAGAATCAAACCAGTAGGTGGCAGCATTAAGCAGCTATGATCCATTTAACTCCCTTTGATAAAAAAAAAAAAAAAAAAAAAAAATGTTGACTCCATGGTAACATTATCTCGGATTTTAACGAGTCTCACTAACCGTCACTTCACTCCCACAATCAGTCAGCGGCGCTCTGATGATGTAATCCCCGTTCCCTGACACTTTGGCTGTGCAGTGACGTTGCGCAGAAGCACCAACAGGTCCAAGTCTGAAGTGCTCGGGCTCCACAGGCAGCTCCGGGTGGAACAGACGAGCTTTCATCGTGACCTCGATGCTGTCCCGTGACATTTCAAAACAAAGGTCTTCTTCAGCCTCTGCTCTGCTGAGGGAGAGTTTGTCTGTTTCAAAGAGTTCCCCTCGAGCGCGGCCAAGTCAGAGAAAGACAGAAAGAGCGGCTTGGTTTGGTAAGTGTAGCACGTCGTTGTTTCTAGAAGAGAAACGGAAAAGACGACAAGAACAAAAAGCATTGTGGTGGAAACTTCTCTGATAACATGAGAATGTGGCTGTCAGCAGAAACACACCTGAGACTAATCACCTGTGATGAGACACCTGCAGAAAAAACCAGCCAAGAAACTGAGCATGTCATACAAAAGTCTTTTATTCACAAAGATAAAACTGTACATATTGCATTCAAAGACTGCAGGTTAGGTTAAAAAACAAATACTGATATGTACCATATAATGC